CCTCCACAGTTCTTTGGCCCTTGAAACTTCATTCCAGACCTAGAACAAGTGGGGAGAGAAGAGAATATCTGGTTAGTCACCATGCAGTTAGTACCTAGCCTACCAGGCCCTGTGGAAGGGACAGAGAGCTAAGTTAAATCAGACCCAGTGCCTGCACTCAAGAAAACTCCCTCTTCAGTAAAAACCACCAATCAATGAGTGAGAAAGGAGACAATGACCAACTCGATGGGACCAAAGGACTGAGAAATGATTACTCATCAATTTCTAAAGGATGGGTCATTGTACCCTAAGAGAATGGCTGAAGCATTCCAGGGAAAGACAGAAAGATTCAGTAGAGTGTGAGAGAGGGTAAGTAATTTGCCTTAGTTAGAACATATAGTTTTAGGAAAAGCAACTGGAGACTTGTTTTCACCAATTCCTAAGTTCCTTAACAAGAACAGTGAGAGGCTACTTGAGAATTGTGAATGGAGGAGCAGTGGGTCAAACTGTGTTTTAGGAAAATCACTCTGGCTGCTGAGAAGGAAGCATTGGAAATAAGGGCAAAGCAGTAAGCCCTGTAAGAAAGCCGCTGCAGTGGAGTACATTAAGGCACTGGCTGAGGGGATGTCCTAGAGATGCCAAGATAGTGGAATGGAACAGCTGCCAAGGGGAGGGTACTATGTGGACCCTGCTCTACAACTACCCTCTGCAGAAGTATTTGGAAGAGTCTCAGGTAGCCCCTGGAAGTCCCATACCTGCATCCTGGAACTTCCTGGCCTCTCCACCTGGGCCACCCTGTATTCTCGAGCCTACATAGCTTCAGTGGAAATCACTGTAGAGATTTCTGTGACCCAGTCCCACTGAAGGCCCTATCCCAGAAATGTGGCTTTCCAGGCCCTAGCAAACACAATGACCATCCTCTGAACCCAGACTCCCATTTCCACAGACTTTACTCACCTAGATCAAAGTTTCTCAGCCCTCAAGAAGTCTCTTTGGGCCCTGGCCAGGTAGGTCAGTTGGTTGGAGTGTCGTCCCAAGGTTGTAGGTTTGATCCCCTGTCAGGGCATATACAATAACCAACCAATGAAACATATATAAGTGGAACAACAAACCGTTGTTCCTCTTTCTCTCTTCCCTTTCTTCCTCCTCTCTCTCTGAAATCAATAAAAAAAAAATTTTTAACTGTCTTTGGCTGGTAGGAATGTAACATTTATATTTTGCAGAATCAAACCAGCCAAGAAAATTTATTAATTTCTCTTTTCTATACTTCCTGGTTCAAAACACAACTGAGATCTTATTTCCCACATATAGAATTATAATATGTCATATAATTTGCAAAATATATCCTACTCACCTTTAAGGATCTCTCTGTTAGATCTTTACCTTTAACCATACACCCTGAGGCAGGGATTATTGACCTCATCATACATAAGAGGAAACCAGGACCTATAAAAAGGTATAAGGCATATCTTTTTCAAACTCTGCCTCTATGCTATCCTCCTGCTGCTGTGAAAGCATCCAGGATCCAATTCCATCCATGTGTGGGCCTGCACTGGGTGACCCAGGACAATGCACTCACTGAGATACTTTCCTTAGTGTTAAAAATGGAGATGGAAACCAAATATTTGACTTTACACATTTAAAATTGTGATTACAGAATTCAGGTAAGGATCTGTTTGTTAATGGCTGGTGTGGTTCAGTGGGTTGGGGGACGGCAAGCCAGGGTTGCTGTTTTGGTTTCTGGTCAGGGTGCAGTGCCTGGGTTGCTGGCCTGGTCCCCTGTTTGGGGGCATTGGGGAGGCAGCTGATAAGTGTTTTTCTTGCACATGGGTGTTTCTGTCCCTGTCTTGCTCCCTCCCTTTCCCTCTCTCTGAAAATAAATGGATAAAAGATTTTTAAAATCTTTAAAAAAATAAATGTTTAAAAATAATAATATAATGAATTATTTTAAAAGAAATTTTTTTACTCAACAAATACTGAGAGTACACTATATGTCAAGCCATACAGCGGATGCTAGGGACACAGCGAGGTAAAAGACAAAATCCCTGTTCTTAGCGAGGAACAGCAGCCACTAAATAAATAAGCCCTGCAAACAAGTTATAGTTGTGCTGAGTCCCACGAAGAGCTGAGTGCACCTATAACAAGCAGTGAAGCTTAGATGTGACTAATGTAGTCCAGGTGGTGCTGGGAGCTGCGAAGAAGCAGGAGGTCGCCACTTCAGGGAAGAGCTAGGGGCGTGGCTTTCCTGGCCCACCCACTAAGAGAAATAACAGAAACATGAGGAGAAAGAGAACTGATCCCGAAACTAAACTCAGGAGTGAACCTTAATGGTAGGATGTGTGTGTGCATATTGTTGTGAGGGCCTGGTGCAAAGCGCGCCGGCGCTCCGGACCGAAGGCGACCGGGGGCTTTCAGAGCTAACCCTCCAGAGTCCGCTGAAGTCACCAGCTGGAAGGCGACAAACGCCCTCTGCCGGTCACGGACACCGGGCCGCCGAAAACCCCATCCCAGACAGGAGAAGGGCAAGCCTTGGGCATCCCGTGGCCATGTCCCCAGCCCTGCCTCCCACCGGGCACGCTACAGAGCAGGACAATATAAAGCAAGACTCAGGATTCCAGGAAAGAGAAGACCTGCAGCCGAGAACTCCTGCGGACCCAGCAGCGGTCCCTTAGCATCCGCTGTCTCAGCTCAGCCACGCCTTTTCCACGCTTTCACTGGGCTTTCACTAGGCTTTCACCGGGCTTTCACCAGGCTTTCACCGGGCTTTCACCCAGCAGGAAAACCCAGTCCTTGCAGTGCTTCTGCCTGGTTAAGCCAATCCCCGCCCAACCCACTGTTCTTCGCCCCGCTCCTTCTGATGCACTTTGGCCCCATTCTGTAACCCACTAGCCCGGCTTCTCTCTGGGCTCGGATTTTTCTCTGCCGTCACCCAGGGAAGTCGCCTTTGCCCTAACCGTCATTCTCACACTCCCCCAGGCCCTCTCCCTGACCTTCACCTTTGCGTTGATCTTCGTAGCAGACCTTACAGAGACCCTGAACTGACTTACCTCTATAGCCCATGCCCAGGTGCTGGCCCTGCCCCTTGACCTCACACTTGCCAATATATGTGCCCGTCTTCCATCTCGACCTCAACCCTCCCCTCTAAACCTGGTCTTTGACTTGGACCTCTCATCTGGTTCACACCTGGCTTTCACCCTCACCCTGGACCTGCCTTTTGCCCTTATCCTTATCCTGACCCTGACCTTCTTCCTTAAGCTTGCCCTGATCAACTTGGTCCTTACCAGCATCTGTCATCCACCCTACACTTGTTCCTACCTCCACCTAACCCTGATCCTGATATTCACCCTCACTCTGAATTTCATCCTGGTCCTGACCCTTACCTTCACAATGACCCTCAGCCTCCCTCTTACACTGGTACTGGTACTAGCACTGGCACTTGCCCAGACCCTGGTCCCCAGTCGGGGGTGTGCAAGAGGCAATGAATTGTTTTTCACATTGATTTTTCTCCTTTCTCCCTCCCTTCCCCTCTCTAAAAATATGTAAAACATTTAAAAAACAAACAAAAAAGAAAAACCCACCCCCCTCCACTTCTCTCTCTACCCACCTGGATAATCTAGATACTCTTTCCATCTCAAGGTCTGTACACTTATTCACATCTGCAAAGTCCCTTTTGCTATGTAAGGCAACAATATTCATAGGTTAAAACATGGACATCTTTGTGGGTGGGTATTATTACACCTACCACAGAGGGTCAGTTATAGTTAAGGTCAGGTCAAGGACAAGGATGGGTCAAGATCTGGGCAAGAGTAAGGGTCCGGCTGAGAATGAGGGTCATCAAAATGATGGTCAACGCCAGTTGAAGCTTGACTTCAGGATCAAGGTCCAGGTCAGGTTCAACATCAGGATGGGATTAGGATGAGTCAGTGACAACAGCCAAGTGTGAGTAAAGGTTCTGCATGGTCAGTGTTAGGTTGAGGATCAAGGTCAGGGTGAAATTGAGGTCCAGATCAAAGTCAGTGTCAGGATCAGGGTGGTGGTAAGGTTTAGAGTGCAGATTAGTTTCAGCCTGAGTATGTGGTGTGCTTCAAGATAAGACTGTAATCCAGGGTCAGAACGACAGACCTTGTTAAGGTGAGGATTCAGTCTAGAGGTAGAGTGAAGCTGAGGGTCAGAATCAGAACGAGGGTGATGAGAGTCTCGTTCATGTTAGCATTCTGAGAATGACCAGTGTGACAAATTGTCATTGCCAAGGGTAACTCAAGGTCAGGATAAGTATGACAGTCATATTGATGGTCAGCATAAGAATCAGAGTCATGATGAACATCAAAGTATGAATGTCAACTAGAGAGTCAGTGTTAAGGTGAATGTGATGGCCAAGTTCATGTACAAGGTTAAATTCTAGGTCAAGTGGGGTCAGTTATGGTGACGGTCAGAGTTAATGTCAAGATCAAGGTCAGGTATGGGTAGGTAAGGGTCTGGTAAAAAATTGGGTGAGGATGAGTGGGTATGTCAGGCTTGGGGTGACAAGTAAGGGTCAGGTTCAGTGTAAGGCTTAAGTTCAGGGTGATGGTCAAGATCAGGGTGGGTTAAGGTTTAGGGTCTTGCGTGAGCAGTGTTGGTTGAGGGTCAATGGCCAAGGATGTGGATACAAACTCCCACTTATGTGGAGGTGAGAGCTACCAGAAATTGAGCTTGACTGGAGCTTAGAGTCTACAGATATGACTAGAGAAACAGGCAGAGGCCAGATCCCGAAAACATCTTTAAGGATATATGAGACAGCTCTGGCTGCTGTGGCTTAGTGGACTGAGTGCTGGCCTGTGAACCAAAGGGTAGCCCGTTCAGTTCCCAGTCAGGACACATGCCTGGGTTGTGGGCCAGGTCCCCAGTTGGGGGCACGCAAGAGGCAACAACACATTGATGTTTCTCTCCCTCTCTTTCTGCATCCCTTCCCTCTTTCTAAAAATAAATAAAAATAAAATTAAAAAAAAAAAAAGACATAAGAGACAGGCAGACTTTTCCCTGAAAGGAACTGGGGTTTATTTTGTTTTGTATTCCTTCTAAAAGCAAGGACTATGGCAGTGTCAGTCACCTCTGTCCTCAGTGCTTACAAAGTTTATTCACATGAAGCATGTAATGACTATTTTAAGAATAAAAGATTACTAAGAACTCCTCTAGTCTGTCTTTATTTATCCCTGAACCAACGCCACTGCCTCAGCATTACAGCACTAATGACAAGTCTTAGTATCTGAAAAGTTAAGTCCTTTCATCATTTTTCTACTCTTCTGTCTCTGCTTCCTCTTCTCAACCCTTTCATTTCCATGTATATTTCACAATATTCCTATCAAATTATTAAATAAGAAAAACAAGAGCCAGATGGAATTGTATTGGTATTTACTAAATTAACAAATGAATTTCAGGAATGCCTATGTCTTAATTTTTTTTTGATATCTCTTAGTAAAAAGATGGCACACCTGGTCCTGGCTCACCCTCCTCCAAATGGCGGAGGTGTCTGTAAACCAGATTAAAGTATTTGTTTCATAACCTTAGTCATCCTTGTCCTTGACTTCTGCCACCTCACCTCTAAGTCGGAGCTCCATCATATAAGGCTCCTAGGGAGCCCCTAAGACTAGAGTAGCCATGAATGGGGCCACTTTCCCTGTGACGACAGAAGTGAGGACCAGAAGATGACGACACCTCAGCCACTTCCCTTGAAAGGAATGGAAGAGGGGCAGAACCCAGGCAGAACTATGTGGTGTTTTTAATCATAAATCTCAAAAATGAACTAGTATTTAATATCTCTGAGAACAAAAGCAAACTAAACCTCCCTCCACACTTGGGTTTTGGAATTGACATCTTACTCTGTGTTCTCACAGATGGCTCTACCAGGACCATCCCTGACCAGAAGAGCAGCACCCGGAGAAGCAGCACCATGGCGGGCATGGTAGAGGGCTCACTGTCTCTTTCTGATGGGTAAGTCAGCAACACATGGAGGCCAAGGGCACAGCTGCAGGTCTCCTTCTCTGCTGGGGCTGGACATCCTCTTCGCCTGACCCGGGTAGGGCCAGCTATGGAGTGAGCCCAGTGTGGTTATAGTGTGGCCATAGGAGGTAGAGTCAGTCTGGAGTGTGGCCCTGGAACACAGGCTGGTGGGGTCTGGCCCCACATCTCAGCCCTCCGGGATGAAGCGCCGAATCAGCTCTGGGTTCAACAGCAATTCCTCAAGGGGACGGTCCATGTGAAAGTTGTGGACATTGGGAGGCCCCGGGTGGGCCTTGGGGGCCAGTCCCCCTGGGCGCTGGGGAATTGGCAGCTCCGAAGGGTGGGCAGGCAGGGGAGCTGTGAAGAAGTATTGGTGCAGGAGGGCCTGGGGGTAGCAAGCAAGGAACAGCATAAAGAAACCAATCACCTCTCCATCCCAGGCTCAGCTCACTTCCCTGAGGAAGAGACCAATCGTTGCCCTACAGAGGCTCATTCCTCCATCTGCTCATCCACTCAGCTGACACATCTCTGAGGGCTGACTGAGCACTGCTGAGAGGCTTGAGGTGCAGCAGGGCACAGAACATTCCATGCAGCCGGGGGTGGAGGACAATAAAGAAGGTGAAGTAAGAGTCAGCGCGTCTGATGACTAGTGCTGGAGAGGCAGCAGGACTGAAATGGAGAGAGGAGGTCCCCTGGGAGGTGTCACTTGTGCAGAGACAAGAGGGGTGAGTGAGGAAGGCACAGGGATAGAAGTACATCGACCCCAGGGCATGGAGGGAGTCCTGGCGCCGGAGGGAGGTGACTGATGGGGACAGGAACAGGTAGGGTCACAGAGGTGACAGCTTCCTGCCAGGTGGGAGGAGACACTGAATGGGCAGGAGTAGACTCTGGGAAGCAATGGGAGGGGGGAGGGGTGTGGGCTTAGACTGGGGTCAGCAGCAGGGGGCTGAGAAGTGGTAAGCTGGTCTCAGCATGTTTTGAAGGCACTAAGGACATGGGTGCTCACCATATGTATTAAAACATGCTGCTAGTGCCAAGGGGTGGGGGGAGAGTGGTTCACTGACAGAGACCCTGAAGCAATCAACCCATGGTCCTCTCTTCTTTCCCTGTATCCTTGCCACAGCCCATCTTCCTAGGTCCTCCTCCCAGGCCTCTGCTTATCATCTCTCTTGGAGAAACACCTCCTGTGCCTAAACCTGTCTTCCTCCAGAAAGCCTCCCACTCCCACAGCCTGGATGTCCTGTCTCACCATAGGGTAGAGCCCCCACGGGGACAGGGCCATGACTGCTTGTCCACTCTGGGCCAGGGCCCAGGACAGTGCATGGCATATGCCAATGCTGAATAAATACTTGCTGAAGGAATGAAGGGATGAAGGAGCAAGTCACCAGTATCTGGGGGTGTGCACTTTTGTGAGGTGAGCACGCCCTTCTAGTGGGCCACCCCTTCCAGCCCACAGCCCCTCTAGGGCTTGCTCAGGAGAAGCACAGTGGCTCTGAACCCCCCCCATCACATATTCTAAGGGATCTTTACCTCCTGGGTCATGTGAGCATGCATGAAGAGGATCAGGGTAATGGGGATCACCCTACCTGGGAGGCTGCAATGCGTTGGTATGGAGGATAGAGGAGGAAGTGCCCCAGAAGGTCCAATGCCTGGGGAGAGGCATCCGGCAGCACTTCCCCCAAGGGCACAGGAGACTGTTCCTTGAAGGAGATCTTGTTGTAGTCGGGCAGCTCCGTGATCTCCTGAGGAGAAAGGGGCACCTCAGGGCCAGCACTGCCAGCCAGCTCCCCATCAGTCCTTGCTCCCTGTCACCCATCAGCTCAGGCATACTAGCTGCTGCCCCATCCATGTACCCCGCTCTCACCCTATCACTCATGTCTTCATACACTCACTCAGTCCTTCAGTCCTTCATGCCCCCACCCTCTTGGACACTTGCTCCATCCTCAGCTTGATGAGAACTGCAGTGTGCTAGGGGCAGGCAGGAAGGGGCAGTGGAGAGGACCTGGCCTTCCTGCCTTCAGCATATCAGGGAGGGAGGGGCCCCCAAGCTGGGCCAGGACAGAGGTCTGGGATTTCAGGGGGGCATGGGGCCACAATAAATTACAGGAGATGGAAGTCATCAGCTGTTGGGGGAAATGGATGACACCTCCTCCCACCCCTCCCCACTGAGGGTCCCTGCAAACCGGCCAGACTTGAGGGCTAGGGGTGCCCAAGATGCGAAGTACACAGCAGAGCTGTTCGATGTCATTCTCCCCAGGGAAAAGTGGGGACCCATTCAACAGTTCCCCCAGGATACAGCCCACGGCCCTGCAGATAGAGAACCCAAACAGCTTACAGATTCACACCAAGGACACAGATCTCCCCATACCAACTCCATCATTTCATCATAAACACAGGTTTACTCATGCCAGCTCCATCACTCCCCATCATGGACAGATCTCACACCAATGCCTGCTCCTCACATGAGGGTCAATGCACCGACAAAGTAGCCTAGCAGAGGTGTTCAACCTGCAGCCCATGGACTGCTTGCATCCAAGGATGGCTATAAATGTGGCCCAACACAAAATCATAATTTTCCTAAAACATTATGAGATTTTTGTTGTGATTATGTGTTGCAATGTATTTGATGTGTGGCCTGAGACAACTCTTCTTCCAGTGTGGCCCACAGACACCAAAAGGCTGGATACCCCTTGGCCCTAAAGAGTTCTTAGCCAGGAATACAGACCCCCTAAGCAATCAAAGGCATCAAGCCTATAATAGAGCATATCACCCTTTCCTAGCATGTTTCAGGCCTCAGCTCTGGAACACACAACAACCACTCAACAGTTCTGAGACTTCTCCGAACTTCACTCTCTGGGACACACCGCCGCCTCCTCACATTCGGGGGCAGACCTCCAAAACAATCCACAAATCTCAAATTCTTACGCATGTACAAACCATCCTATCACAAATAAAGGCTCAGAGCCTTCATATCCAAGGATCCAGGCCTCTGGATAGCTTAGGGATGTTGCATTCTGGGTTATAATCCCCTGCATAGTAGGTAAATGCTCCACACTTCAGAACACCTCCCCAACCCCAACCCAGGAGCCTCCCACTGGGACAATCACTCTGATCCCACCCAACCCCGACCCAGTTCAAAAATATCATGGAGAATATTTATCCCAAACTCCTCAGAGATATCCTAACTGGGGAAGATACCCAAGGCAATGTAGAGCTCAAGGCAGAAAAATGCCCCTAAACAGCTTAGAGATCACATTGCTGAGGAGGAAAAGGTGGCTCCATGACCCACATCCCCCCCATGCCCAAACCACAGGAGTCTCACCACAGGTCAACCCCCTGGTCATATTGGCGCGCACCATACAGGAGCTCAGGGGCTCGGTACCACCTGTGAGAGGAAGGCAGGTGGTCATAGCTAAGTAAGCAATCTGACAAAGGCTGCCCCAGGTCACCCTGGCCCCCATACCAACCTTATGAGCAATGTCTGGAAAGGTACAGAAGCATCTTTTCCACAGCAGGAGTGTTGGGGCCTATCCATTGCTAAGTCCCGCCTGAGAACCGGCCCTCCCTACCTGGTGGCCACCTGGTGTGTGTAGAGGCGGCTGCCATCAGGGGAGAAGACCCGGGCCAGGCCAAAATCTGCTATTTTCAGCTGGCCTGAGGAACTGATGAGCAGGTTGGCCGGTTTCAGGTCCTGAGAGCACCAAAGGAGGTGTCAGCTCCTCCAGTGCCCCAAAGGACCTTATGGGCTCAGCCCAGACCCCCATCCTCTGCGGGACCACATCCCTGGCAGCTTACCCTAGGCCCCACCCTCTTCATCCCCCACCTCTGGCCATGTCTTCTTCAAGGGATGGCCCACCCCCAGCTCAGCTGGTCCTTTGTTCCTATCCCAGCCCATGCTGGGACTCACCCGATGCACGATGTTATTGGCATGGCAGAAGGAGACACCTTTAAGTAGCATCTGCAGGTAGCTCTTGACCTGTGCCTGGGCCAGCGGCCTCTGGGCGTGGCGCACCACCTCAGCCAGATCTGACAGCATGAACTCAAAGGCCAGCACAAAGCCTGCCCCATGCGGGAATACAGCCTTCAACTGCACAACCTGCAAGCAGGGCATCCTGTCAGCTCCCAGGCTCATATGGCTCAGATTCTCTCTGGGACCCCCAGCCTTTGCCCAGGAAGAAGATAAGACAGACAGAGGAGGTGACATGTGATCTGAGGTTGGAACCAAGGAGCAAATGACTGAACAAATCTACATGGTATGTCCAGGTTCTAATGAGGACAGAAGAGAAAAGGATGGGGTGGGGATGGTTATGCAGGAGGCTGGAAAGGAGCTCTGGGCAAGAGGGCAGCAAGCACAAAACCCGAGGCAAAAACAGTAAGGAGCCTGGAGGGAGGGTCATGTGCATGTGGGGTCATTTAGGGGAAGGCTACCTGCTCTGCTCTGCACTCCCAGAGCCTAGACAGTGTTTGTCATTGTCATGGGAGAGACACTTAAATTGTATTGAATGAATGAAAAGAAAGGCTGGAGGTGGGCAGAAGCAGATGGTGACAATGTTCTCCGTGTGAAGACAAGCCACTGGGAATGAACAACTTCATTTACATTTTTTGACTGTGGGATGGGGGCTGCAGTGGGGAGGTTGCTGTAGTTGTTCTGCTGAAAGCTGATGGTGGCCTAGGCCAGGGTGAAATCTGGAATGATTTCAAAATAGATCATCGGGTCTGCAAATCCACAGGATGTGGAACCTTGTCACCAGCTTCTTATGGGCCCTCCACCTCGGCCACACACAAGCTGTCAGCAAGCCCTTTCACTCTTCTCAAAAACCGAGAATGGACTTGTTGTTTTTCTGATTTTGAGGCTCATACACAATCATTTTACAAATCGAAACACACACGTATTTTCAGGTAATACACAAAATTATTTTTTAAAAACCAACAAAAGAAAAATCCTACCATCTATAGTCAACCTTAAGAGTGTATTCCCCCAGACTTTACAAGAGATATGATACATACAGACACATGTTCACATATACATATATATAATATTTTCATGCAAACCAGGATGAAACAAACAGCTTTATAGCAGGCCTTTGTCACACAATATGTCATGGATATCTCCAGAGGTTAAGGAACGAAATCAGAGTATCACCCACCCAAGATTGATCCATCTTTGTCACTCCTCTGGAAGTTGAGCACATTCTCTACTCCTGACATGGACAAGAGAGAGCCACAAATAGAATAAGGCTGGGGTATACGGTGTCCCTCTTTATGTGCCCACAGCCCCTCCCAGTCTGTCACAGCACAAATCATACCCGCTGGTCCTATAGCTTCTGTCCATCTCCCCTACCTCACTCAAGTGCTCAAGAGCCAGGTGAGGGCCAGTTTTTCACCGTGTTGCCAGTGCCCAACACAGGGGAGAGCCTACAGGAGACCCCAAGTTGAAAGCATCCAGACACCTCAGTCAGACCTGGGCAAAAGCCTCCACATACAAGCTAAGCACCCGTGAGAGGATGGCTGAGTCTGCTCTCCTGCACTGAGAGGTAGATCCTGAAACCTCCCTGCAGTAACCCAGCCTACAGAACATAACAGGAACACAGAAGGTAGCAGTTATTACCATTAGAAATCACTAAATGTTTTTGAGGAAAAGGCATAAGTTAGTGAATGAATGAGTATAGGAAGAAGTAAGTGGGTGAACAAAGTGAATGAGTGAGGGATGAAATAATTGGGTGAATAAGTAGACAAGAAAGGGAGTTAGTGAGGAGTTGGGAAGCATATGAGGGAGCAAAGTGGGTGTGGGCCCCGAGAGTAGAAGTGAATGGGGAAGGGCTGGCCAAGGTGCCTCCTCAGAACCCCAGCCTCACTCACATGCTGATTGTCCCCGATCTCCTGCAGAGCCTTGATCTCCCGCAGGGCCTGGTTGGGGATGCCTTCCTCCAGCCGCCGCAGGGCCACCTTCTTGAGGGCAACGATCTCTCCAGTCTGTGTGGGACACAATGCAGACACTGCCACCCCATTCCCCTCTGGGAAAGGTGAGCAAGGGAACCAGAAACGTGCCCTCTGGGTGGGATGCAGAGGCCTGAGGCCCTCGGGGAGATGGAAAGTACCCCCACCGCGTCCTGGAGGAAAATCATGGCCAGTCTAGGGCTCAGCAGTCGCAGAGCTGGGCAAACAGCTCAGACACATTCACTGCATGCTCCTAGTGGACAATCGCTGGCGGTAGAAAGCTGGCCACAACCTGGCAGCCCCTTCCCCAAACCCTTAAAGGGATTAAAGTGATGAGCACACACAACGAAGTTGAAGGAGGCAAAGTCCGTTGCAAGGGTCCGGCACTTCTCACAAACAGAAATGAATGTAACTGAAGGAGGAAGGCCCCCCGCGGCCCCGCCCTAGCCTCACCTCCACGTGCTTGGCCTTGAAGACAATGCCATGTGCACCCTCCCCAATCCGGCCTAGGATGCAGTACTGGTCCATCTCCTGTTCCGCCTCCAGCGCCCTGGTAGCTGCTTAGCAACTGAGCGGCCTCTAAACGTCCGGCCTGAGGCCAAGTGCAGCCAGGGAGGGTGTGCTGGCTTTGTCTGTACCTTCCTCTAGACCTCTGTCACCACGCCGCAGGTGCTTCATGTGGGGGAAGTCAGCCTTGAGCGGACAACAGCAGCCTCCGGATCCAAAGCCCGGAGCAGCAACAGCAAGGGCCCCTTCTCCTCTCCGCCCCGCCCACAGCACGTAAGGAAATATGCTAGGGCACGCCGGGAAGGCTGCGGCCGCGCGGGCGGGGCGGAGCTGCGGGGAGGGTTAGGTCACTAGGAGCCAATGCAGAAGGGAGATAGCCCGGGGCGGAGTTGTGGAGGGACAGTCCTTGGAGGCTGCCTGCTGAAAGGTCATTTGGCAGCATTTAGAGAAAACTTCGAAAGTGCAAACTCCGACTCTGAAAGTCCACATTTACCTCTGGCTGGGTAGCTCAGTTGGTTAGAGCAATGTCCTGCTAGCCAAGGTTACATGTTTTATCCGGTCAAGGGCACTGCAAGAATCAACCAATGAATACATAAGTAAGTGGGACAACAAATGCTGTCTCTCTTGTCACTCTGTAAAAAAAAAAAAGAAAAGAAAAGAAAAGAAAATCAGTAAAGAAAGAAAGTCTATCTCCTGAGGAAATATTTGGAGGATTTTGGAGCTTGAATGACTTTTTAAAATTAAATTTATTTATTTTTTTTTATCCTCACCAAAGGACATGTTTACTGATTTAGGGGCTGGGGGGAGAAACATTGATCTGTTGAGTGAATCTGAGACATTTCGTTTTAGGAAAGGACCCTCTACGACCCTCCAACTGAGCTAACCTGCCAGAGTGCAAATTGAGTGATTTTAATAAAATCATACCATCAAAGGATATTGATTAAAAAAACCCAGAAGTAGCTATTAAACTTCTAAAAAGATTCTCAATCTCTCACACACGATAAATGCACAATTTTTTGCCAATCAGATGGCCAAAGATTCCAGATCTAAGAGCCTATTGGCCAGGCTAGGGGAAAGCAGGAGCTTTCATACACAGCTTGTGGGAGTGTAATCCCCCTAGCCTCAGCAAGCCCACATCTAGAAATCCCCTCAACAGATAAGTAGCACACGTGTGAAATAATGTGCAAAATTATTAAATGAAGCATTGTTTGAATAGAAATATTGGAAGCACCACAAATTCTCAGCATCAAATAAAATATTAACCCCTGACCCATGTGGCTCAGCTGGTTAGAACATCCCCTAGTAAACCAAAAGTTTGCTGGTTAGATTCCGAGTCAGGACACATGACTGGGTTATGGGTTCTCTCTCCATTCCAGGCATGTACAAGTGGCAACCCATCAATGTTTCTTTCCCTCTCTTTCTCCTTCCTTTCCTCTCTCTTTAAAAACAAATAATTAAAAAAAATGAATGAGGAAACTTTTTAAGTAATGGAAAGATTTCTAAAACACATTGTTATAAAGGCAAGATGCAAAACAGCATACAGTGTGCCACTAGCTATGTGAAAGAAAAGGGAAAAAGAATATAAATTAAAATATAAAAAATAAATAATGCTTGCTCATGCATTACAAGATTTCATGACTGGAGCTACCTAGTGGAGAAGGGACTAGGATTGGGGACAGGATAGGAAGGAGGCAGACTTTTTACTGGGCCTCTTTGTATTCTTTGAGTTTTGAACCATATAATTTATTAATTGTTCACAAAAGTAAATATTTTCTGGCTTACAACTTCCACTCTTTTAAAAATTTTAGAAGGTGGTCTCAATGTCCATACAAAGATGTTCATCTTGTTTGATGATAGCAAAGGTCAGATAACAACCCAAATATATTTTGGCATCTCTGGAAATATGATTATCTACCCTCTCTGGGATTTATTGTTATTGCTTTTTATTGTTATTTGTTTTTTTTAACATATTTTCTGACCTAATTGTGTAATGTCTGTTTTCTTTATCATATGTGGCCTCTGAAATCTCTGCTCAGTTACCTTAGCTGTCAGCTAATAATTGGGGAGAGGTTTTTAATAGGGAGGGTCATTTCTGCAGCCAACATGGCCAGTGATCAGTGGTTCTTTCTTGACAGAGGTGGTCTGTGTGAATGTGAGTGAATAACAAACCTCTTGCCCTGATATGAATTTGAATCATCAGGCAGAAGTAATGGTAGAGGAATCAACATATTAGAAATGCATCTACTTTAGTCCTCTGCCTTCCTTCCCTTATCCTCCAGCTACACGTCAAAAACTTCTTTACTTATCTGTTCCTCTCTGGCTCCACTGACAAATTGTTTTCCAGTGATGTGATCAATTCAGGAGCCTAAGACTCATCCAATACCTCTTGTCCTTCAGCAGCTCTGGACTTTGTTCTCACTTACTTTATATCACGTTCCTTCCTCTCCTCCTCCTATTTATTTTATGAATATGGCAAGGTATTCCCTTTATGCCTTAGCACCTATATTGATGAATGCTATCCATCTTACAGAGCTGCTGTGAGAATTCAGTGGATTAATGTGTAGAACAATCTGACCAGTACTCAACAGTGAGTACTGGTAGGACTCTCATTAATCATAGGGAGTTCTGTAGAACCCTACACGCTTATGTATATTCACTTTCTCAGGTTATTTTCAAGCCCAGTGGCTTGGATGTGGTGAGGCAAACAAATGAAAAACAATATGAACCCTCTTGACTAGTTACTCAAAATGGGGTCTGCAGATCAGTAGCACTGGCCTCCCCTTGGGAGCTTATTGCAATACAGAGGCTTGGCAGCACCCCAAATGTACTGAATTTACATTTTTAATAAGGTCCTAAGATGACTTCAAATGCATGTTAAAGGTGGAGAAGGACCGCTCTATAAATTTGCCCTTTGTGTAAAGGAGAAGTGTCTACTCTGGTGCCTGCTGTTCCCTCAGCTAAGGGAAGAGGTGACAGCTTTCAGAAAGGACCTTTGTGAGGATTAAATATATTATCAGCCAATGTTTTAAAATACAACTGATTGTTAATCTTTCAGCTCCCCACCACAGCTGCTCACTATTTTCTCAAGACTGAAATTGAATCAGTGGCTTCCCATCACTCTTAGCATGTTATTAGCACCAAGTAATAAACCAGTAAACTTCTATGAGTGTCTATGATATGCCATCCTCAAATAGGGTCACTGACCAAGGCCCCAACCATAAAAGGTTGCAGTTGCTCTTGTTACATTCATATGTAGAGGCTTAGAGTGGGAATAAAGCAAAGCTAGCTGCAGTGGGACTCTCAAAATACTTTTCACCGGCTGGGGGCCATGACAGTTGGCAAATATCCTCCTCCTTAAGGGGGGCATGTGACTATAATGTACCTCAAAGGGTTGCTCCAATGATCATCATGCTGCTATCTGTCCATAATAAGTTCTTAAGTCCTTGATAAACACTCGTCATTTTAAATCGTTACAAGCATGAAGAGCTTTACCAGCAGTGATATGACAATTGTACATGAAGATGGGTAGATTCAGAAAAGTTAAATAATAACATATTTAAGGATTCAACATGTGGCATAATAAGTGCTGAAGCATGAATTTGACTCTTAAATCTTGTAAATTTTTAATCCCAAATCTCTTTTGTACTTCTTTGTGCTACAAAATAGCTCCATCTAGTGCTGTGTTTTTCCTTAAACAGTCTTAGCTCAAGCCATGTGCCATGTGGTCATTTTTAATGAGTTAAAGGAGGAAGAGATTCTCTCTTTAGCCCAGAAGTGATATGGCTAGAAGCACTGGGAGGGCCACAGGATATCATCGATAATCCCTTGTTTGGGCAGGCTGCTTTCTTCTCCTGGGGCTCTGGATCAGAAGTTTCAAGGGTAAAGTAAGGGCATTAATGCATTAGCCCTTGAACCTTTGAAGAAAGTAATATAGCTAATGTTCATGAGTACTTAAGATGTGCCAGAACCTCCTGGAAGCACTGTACATATTTTGCTGCTGCAAAAATAATTATTATTGTTATTCACATAAAATAAGGTTTAGAGAATTTTTCTAAATCTTCCAGTTTCAGGGGGCTAAAAAAGGAGGAGCTAAAATCACTACAAAATCCACCTGACCCCATTACCACACTATCCTTTGAAAAGAAAGGGAGAGAAGTGGGGGGAGGAGGAAATGGGTAAAGGGAAAGGGAAGTGGAGAGAGGGAAAGGGATTGGGGGAGGGAAGGGAAAAGAGGAAAAAATGGTGGAGCTGAGTTCATCTTAATCCACTTCAGGAAATTCCTGAAATTCCTACACAGGTCCTTGGCAAAGATATGCTAGGAAAGAATGTTTTTGGTTATCTCTCAATCAAGTTTCAATCTTAATCTGTCTCTCACACATTGTTTATTTCTCTCTCTCTCTCTTCTGTGCCCACCTATTGCTCTGTTATGCTATTGGAAAATTTGCCATGATTCTTGAAATACTAATCTCAAATAATAAACAATTATTTACTGATTCACACTGTTATAAATTCTGTCATTTTTTAATGGAAAGAACTTATTAATCTATGAATAACTATTTCATTTTCTTCATATTATTTGTAATCAATTATTCACTTATCATTGTTTATGCTTTTTCTACATAGAAAATCAATCTTCCTAATGAGATATAATGTACAATACATCCTCTATTACATTAAGTTATACTGATGCCAGTTTTAATTTTAATATTATCTTTGAGATAGTTAATTACTCTTGATTCATGCTAGAACAAAATATTAAAAATTTATGCACCAAATGCTCACCTCCTTGGAGGAAAAAAGGAATCTTGTGGAAAGACTTTGTAAAACATTGTGTTTTTCCTGTGTCAGGCAGTGGATCTCCCAATATTTTGAGATTTGAGAGGAAAGCTTGGTCTTCTGATGCTAATACTTTAAATGGCATCATACTTTTTGTTTTTCTTTGCCCCAAATTTCCTCAGCTTCATTACCAGTAGAAGGAGAGAGAACAGAAAGAAAACTTCTATCAGCTATGACATTTACTCCTAGTCAGCTAGCCGTTCTAAGTAATATGTTTGAGGAGAACCCTTACCCTGGTCATCCTTCCAGAAAAGAACTGGATGATATTCTAATAATGATGACGCTGAAATGTATATGAGTTTCATACTCCCTTAGAAAGGGATGTCATCACTTCCTGACATTTATAGTTGCAGTAGCCATGTGTCACTAACGGTCTACTCAGGAGATGGAAACTATACAGTAATTTGAATAGGAAAAGTT